GAGGTTGCATGTGAGCTGAAGATCGCGCCCACTGCATTCCAGCCTGGGCGACAGAGCAAGACTCCGTCTCAGGAAAAAAAAAAAGAAAAGAAAAAAGAGACATCCCAAACCCACAGAAAAGTTAGAAAATAATGCAATGACTGTTCAAAAAACCCTCAAATTTAGAATCAACATTTTTAAATATTTGGGGCCATGTAAACTTTCTTCCGTGTTGTATCACCAATAGAGCTAGGTAATAGGGTTTTGTTTTCTGTGTTTGAGGTACGATACTATCTTTAGTGGGTGGTGGTAGGAACGCCTGAAGCAGAGACCTCAAAGGGAATCAAAGGGTAACTGCCACGTGATGATAGCAAAACCAGAGTGCAGCAGCAATCTTTTCCCCACCTGAAGACAGTTGCTCTGAGACAGTTGACCCAGACCAACCCCAGCTAACTTTGTAGAGCAAAGTTAGCCCCTGCAAGTTCATTTGGGAGAACGACCACTACCTAGATTGCCACTGAAGAAAGCTCCATTGTTCACACTACGGGACTAGTTCAAGCCAGAATCATCCAGATACTCTTTGTATGGGCCAGCATTTACAGTCTGGATCCCAGAATGCAACACTGAAAGGAACAGCTTATTAAAAGAGCCAGCACATGCAGCTTTTGGGGCCTGCCCTGTGCCTTGGTTACCTTGGACAAGTCATGGAACTTCTCGAAGTATATATCAATAGCAGCCCAAGCCACCTCATAGGCAGGAGGTGAGGTGGGGCATCCCAAAGATCTTCTATAGTTCTTTAATTATTTCACAGTGTCCACAATTTGTCACTCCAACTAGACTATACGCTTAAAAGCCACGAACGTTTTGTTTTGTTTTGTTTTTGTTTTTTGAGACGGAGTCTCGCTCTGTCGCCCAGGCTGGAGTGTAGTGGCGTGATCTTGGCTCACTGCAAGCACTGCCTCCCAGGTTCACCCCCTCAGCCTCCGGAGTAGCTGGGACTACAGATGCCCACCACCACGCCCGGCTAATTTTTTTGTATTTTTAGTAGAGATGGGGTTTAACCGTGTTAGCCAGGCTGGTCTCAATCTCCTGACCTCGTGATCCGCCCCCCTTGGCCTCTTTTTTTTCTTTTTTGAGACGAAGTCTTGCTCTTTTGCCCAGGCTGGAGTGCAGTGGTGCAATCTCGGCTCACTGCAACCTCTGCCTCCAGGGTTCAAGCGATTCCCCTGCCTCAGCCTCCTGAGTAGCTAGGATTATAGGCACGCACCACTACAGCCGGCTATTTTTCGTATTTTTAGTAGATACGGAGTTTCACCATGTTGGTCAGGCTGGTCTTGAACTCCTGACCTCATGATCTGCCCACCTCAGCCTCCCAAAGCGCTGGGATTACAGGTGTGAGCCACTGAGCCTAGTCCAATCACGAACGTTTCTTAAAGCCTGCTACCTTTTTTTGTCCAGTTGACAAGGGCTAACCATAGTGCTGGCCACATATCATTCAACCAAATAAATATGGACACAGTGGAGAAATGGTGTTGTCACACCAAACCCTTTGTGGTGTTCATTCAGATGGGATGGACTTGTATTATGTGCACCAGAATTGAGCTTCCAAAGTTGGCTGCATGCAATATAAGCCCTACCCAACAAGCCTTACCCAACAAGGCTTGTTTTAATCACTAAGGATGTTTACCCACAGTGACTCTCAACTGACTCTAGAAAGAACACAACCACTGCTTACACACACACACATACACACACACACACACACACACACACACACACACTAGGGCACTTACTCGTATGGTACCACGTCTCAGAGCTCATTAAAAAGAATTCTTGGCTGGGAGCGGTGGCTCACGCCTGTAATCCCAACACTTTGGGAGGCTGAGGTGGGCAGATCACAAGGTCAGGAGTTCGAGACAAGCCTGGCCAACATGGTGAAAACCTGTCTCTACTAAAAATACAAAAATTAGCCAGGTGTGGTGGCGGGCACCTGTAATCCCAGCTACTCGGGAGGCTGAGGCAGGAGAATCACTTGAACCTGGGAGGAGGAGGTGGCAGTGAGCAGAGGTTGTGCCACTGCACTCCAGCCTGGGCAACAGAGCAAGACTCCGTCTCAAAAAAAAAAAAAAAAAAAAAAAGAATCCTAAGCTAGCCACACTTAGGTTTATTCTCTAGTCTTCTGTTCCCAAACCCTGAATACATGTTCCTCGGAGGAAACAAGCAGCAACCAGATGTCCAAGGTCTCCTGAGTTAATTCCGTCTTCCCTGGTGAATTACAACTTCTTGCACACACAAAGGAGAACAGAGAGACAAATGACACATAAACAGGAGCTTCACTGGCTGGGGGAGGGGGGCATGGAGAGTGACGTCAGTTTTCCCAGAAACCCATTTATCACGATAACAAGGTCTCGAGTGCTTAGGCTGCTCTTTCAGCTTCAGAATCTGGCGTACAATTATGTTCTTCATCATACAGTATGGCAAGGCCAGCCAGAGCAAACTGGAGCCATGCAAAGCAAACCAAGTGGCCCTAAACCACCCCCTCACCCCCATTTGCAGAACAAAGGGCATCTCTGGGTTGCCTGAGTTGTGCCTGAGGTGAAACACACACAATCTTCTGGAATGTTCCCCTTTGCAACATCTGCCCTGCAATCCTAATCCAGGCAAGAGAAACTGATGAGAATATGGAGGACAGGTCAATGCAAATTCATTAGCTGACATGAAAAATCATTAGCCTCATTTTTGGATGGAGCAAGTGTAATCCCAGAGATTAATTCCTCTACTTCATATACCATCTCTGAAATGCAGGTAACCAGGAGCAGAAAAGCCACAGCAGAAAAGAGGGAGCCCTCAAAACACTAAAGCAATAAACAATGAGAGTGCCAATCTTGGGGGAAGAAAATTCTCTCAAATTCCATCATCACAGAGAATGTCTCCTGTCTACTCCTGGTCCTTCCACATCATGACTGCATAAAGTACACTGTGCTAGGGTGTGCAGGGGGTGGAGGAGGTTCTGAAGAAATGATCCTGCCTTTCCAAACAGGGGCAAAAGAGAGGAATACATTAATACATATTCTGTAGAGAAAATACTATCAGATTCTGGCTTCAGATTTTGAAAAATCAATTTCAATTACACCAAATACCTAGAGGCTTTTTTTTTTTGTACTGTAATTGCATTGCATGAACTATTTTCCTAAACAAGTAAGCTACAAGGTTGAAAAACATTTTTATGTGGTTCAGAGATTTTCGTCAAGTAGCATTTGGTGTCATGGGATTTGACCTACCTCTGTCTCCCACTCCTTCCTCACCTCGGGGTGCTGGTGGGCTTCTTAAAGTCCCAGATACCCATGGATGAATAGACAAGCTAGGGTGTCCCCCCCAAATGGAATTCATCGCCCTTTGCAACCAAACTTCTGGTCTAAAAAACAAACATGGAGCCTCAGGTCACTTCAACATGGTTTCTCTGCACATCGCAGGCTGGAAAACTTCAGTTCTTTAAATGAAGATTTTTTTTTTTTTTTTTCCCCTGAGTCGGTCGCCAACAAAAAAAGAGACGGCACCGCTTTTGGGAGTCTCACACTTATTTTCCTGAGTCTCCATAGAAAGAAGCCAGCTCCACAGGTTTTGGCACACAAGCCCAGTTACACTGAACATGCACCCGAGACAGATCCTCAGAGGCCCGCTCCAAAACATGCCAAAATACGCAGCCAGCCACCTACAGGCCAGCCAACTGCACCCTACACTGACGCACAAATGAGACCCAGAGGCACACAGCACTAGCAGACAGAGAGGCGTTCGGACACACACCACAGAGGTGAGCACACTCAGAGAAACAGGCGGACTTCTTTGGGTCACAGACAGAACCCCGGCGCCGCCGCCGCCCGCCCGGGAAGACACGAGCGCGCGCGCGTGCACACATACGCGCACACCGATACACACACAGACGCAGTCACATATGTAATGCATATAGAGAAACCTTATCCCAGCCAGTCACTTCCCCGCCCCCCTCACCACTCACAGCCTTCTGCCCCAGGCTAACCCCAGCCCCGCGCCTCTTTGCCTGTGCCGTCCCGGGTCACAACGGGCAGCCGTGCGCAGGGGCGCGGCAAGGCCAGGGTGCCAGGGACCTGGAGGGCTCGGCGGCTCCTACGGCCATTCATTCGGCAACGCCCCAGCCGTGGGGCCGCAGCTGCAGCGAGGGAGGCGGCCGCGCTCACTGCGGCTCTTGGGCAATGCAAGTTCAGCCGCCGGCCCACAGGCTTTGCCAGCCCCCCTGCCGCCCCCCGACCCCCGCGCGCCACCACCGTTTTCCGGGACTGGCTGGGGGACTGAGCTGCTGACCCCGGGAGCAGAAGTCCCACCGTGCCCTCGGCTCCTCGATGCTGCCTACTGCCCTCCTCGCGATGTGGGGGCGGCGGCCAGGTCTCCTTGACCCTCCCCAGGCCCTCGGCCCTGGCCCTGGCACCCAAGCTCTGCACTTACCACCTGGCGAGCTATATCGGTCGCTGCCATCGCTCCTGCGTCCGCCAGGGCTGCCACGGGTGCCGCCGCAACGGGAGCTACTGCACAGGAAACAGAGGAGCTCCTCCGACAAAGAGAAAGTGTTACACTTCGGGCGCGACCAAGTCCGGTGGGGGGAGGTGCAAGGGAGGGGCCCCCTCGCCGCTGCTCCAACCCCAACCTCCCCTCTACCGCCCACCCCTTGAAAGTAGGGTATGGAGAGGGGGCGGATTTAACGCGCCGCTTCCCACTTCGGCCAGCCCAGTTCCAGTTCTTCCTGCAACCCCAGCCGCAGGCTTCTGCGAAGGGGGGCGGGGGCTCCCCTCGGTGACCACGTCCTCTGCCCCCCCCGCCACTTGGCTCCGTGGTACGTCCCGACCTCTGCTGAATTGTCACACCCCCCTGCTCTCCTTTACATCCCTAAGTCCCCAGACCCCGGAGGCTGGAAGGGAGCCCCCGCCCCTCCCCCCTCCCATGCTCTGCTCAGCGGCCAAGCTCTGCAGTTCTCCTCCCGGCCCCCGGAACCCCCCTTCCTTTCCACCGAGATCCCAGGGTGCTTAGATGGGTGCGCCTTGGCCGCTGGAGTCTCGATGCCCCACTGTCGTGTCTCCCTCCCCCCATAGCCCGGGAGCGCAGCTGAGGCCGAGGTACAGGGGAGGCCTGCGGCACCTGCCGCTCCACAGTAGAGCTTAGCAAGGGGGCCGGTGGGGGGAGCCGCACTGCAGTCCCGCAACTGAGCTGAGCTGTGGCATGTGGGGTCCGAGGCTAGAGGTCTTGAGACGCTGCTTCTGCCCAGGGGTTTCCAAGCCTTGGGTGCTGTGGGCTGTAATTTCGTGGAGCAAAGCTCACCACCTTTGGGTACGTAGTACAGACGGAACCCACGCCTCCTCTCTCTGACCCAGCCCTAGACGCTCAGCAAGACCAGAGACTCGGACCACCCACCCCTTCTAGTACCAGAGGAGGGGCTGGGGATGAAGGTTGCCAGCTCTATGGAGCGAGATGGAGGGGCGGGTGACGGGGAGCGGCCTCCAGTCACTCTGTCCCGCCCCCTGATTTCTCCTTGACCCTCATTCAGCCCGGGACAAGGCGGCCAATAGGGCGCAGAGGAGAGAACTTCCGAAGGCAGGAGTGTGCCCGCCCGCCCTCCTTATCCCCCTGGCCCACCTCCGCGGGTCCTCTCTCGTGGGCACCTCTCCACTTCTCCGGCTCTGGCGCCCTCTCCTCTCTCCTGGGGCTGGCCTCTTGCTAGCTCCCTGTCACTGGAGCACGCTGGCAGATTTGGCATGCCCGAGGCCCCAGCGGGAGGGACAGTACATTCCACTCCTCAAAAGGGCAGGTTCCCTGCTGTGGGAGAGAGACCTGGGCCCGCCAGAGGGACCCCAGATGGGGGAGGGGATGACAAGCCTATGGAGGAAACCCCGGCCCAAGAGGGGGCCCCAGTGGAGCATGGGAGATGACCCTTTAAAGGCCCAAGGCTGGAGCAGCTGAGGGGGAGGCAGGAGAGAGGAAAAAAGAAAAGTAGGAACCAGGGAGAGAGAGGAAGACCCAGAGGCCCTGGTCTCGGAGAAGTCAGGGAAGACAAGAAAATGGAGTGGCCAAAGAAGAGCATGCCTGGCACTTGGTTCCACCTGCTGGATGGAGCTTCTCACATTCTCTCGGGAAGCCCTTTATGTATGTACCCTGTGCGCCTGGAGAACAAGGACTCAGCAAACGCATCCCGGGGCCGAGTGCAGGGCCTCGCAGCCAGGAGGCTCTCCATTAAGCTGAGGGCAGAGAATTCGGAAGCGTGCGTGGGGGGCGGGGATAAGGAAGTAGAGACACAGCGAGGGAATAGCAGTAAGGACAGTCATGAAGAGCCAAGTATTAAGGGAGCGCCACTGTGCGCCTTCATTGTGCTGGAGACCCAGGAGCGGCCTAAAGAAAAGAGCCTGGCACCATCAGGGTTCAGTGCAGGGGAGCTCCGTGAGACAGAAGGCCTAGGCCACAGGGCGGATGGCGGTGGCAAGGAAGAGGGGCAGCTGGAGTCTTTCAGACCCTCTGGAGCTTTGGGGCAGGGCCTGAGCCCTGGATTGGGTTGGCAGTGACACGTGGGACCAGGGCTATATCTGAGGAACTACGGTGAGGCTTGGGCCCCAACCGGATGGGGGCGGGGAGTCAGAGGTGACTGGCGGCTTCCAGGCTGGGTGTCTGGGACAGGGCTCTTCCCTGGCAAAGGCTAGGGCGAGTTGGACTGAAAGGGCCCGAGGTCACTAGCCCCGATCTGGACTTGGGGTTTGGGTGGTGGTGGGACAAAAGGGGAGAACTTGGAAGCCAGAGCAGAAAGCTGCTGCCGGAGCGGAGCGGGAGGGGACTGGCGGGCTGCGGGGCTCCCCAGGAATCCCCCACGCGCTGCCCCGCCCGCCTTAGCACTCCTCACGGATTGAAGCTCCGAATTTACCGGCCCAGCGCTGGGGGGCACCTGAGCACGGAATCCTTGGTGTCTCATCCATATGCCCCATTCGGCCCTCCGGTTCCTGGAGACTACCAGAACCTCACTGCGGCCTCCTCTTCCAAAACGCTGAACCTCGAAGACCTGAACCAAGTGCTTAATTCAAGTCTTCTGGGACCCTTTGTTTCCTCCAATACCTGTCCCGTGTGACTACAAGCCCCTCCTGGGGCCCGGGCCTCCAGCCTCCTTCAATGGGGTGTGGGTCAGTGTGTGTGTTGGTCTTGATGTGTGAGTAGATGTGTCGGTGTGTTCGTATGTATTGTCAGTGTGTGCTAGCTGTGTGTCTGTACATCTGTGTGTCAATGTGTGTGTTGGCATGGGTTTACTTGTGTTTGTATTTGTGGTTGTGTCTGCCGGTGTGTGTCCATGTGTGCATGTTGGTGTGTTTTGCGGTGTTTCAGTGTGTCAGTGTGTGTTTTGGCATGTGTTGGTGTGTCAGTGTATTTCAATGCATGGTGAGTGTATGTGTGTCAATGTGTAGAGCGGTGTTAGCTCACTAGCTTTACATACCTTATCTCAGTGCAGTGGGCCAACGACTGAGACGTGTGAATCAGAGCACTCATTTCAATAAAGAGATTTGGAAACTCTCTGGGATCATGCCTTTCTTTTTTTTTTTTTTTTTTGAGATGAGTCTTTGTGTTGCGCTGCGTGAGTGGCAGATCTCTACTCAACTGCAACTCTCCTGGTTTCAATCAATTTCTGCCGCAGCTGGGAACTGCACGCACCACCACCACGCCCGCTATTTTTTTTTTTTTTTTCAGTTCAAGCGGATTACTTCACCATCTTGGCAGCTGTCTTGAACTTCTGACTCCGTATCCACCCGGCAGCGCCATCGGCCTCAGCAAGAGTGCTGGATTAACAGGCGTGGAGCCACCGTTGCCAGGCCCTGAGAGCCTTGCCTTTCGGCTTTTCCACAAGCCCACTTTTCGCGGGGATGGATGGGTTGAGGGAGGCAAGAGGGCCTCCATGAGTGTCAGTTCGTGGGTTTTCTTCCGTTTTGTTTGTTTTCTTGATGTCGTCCTCCAATTGCATGAGTGAGGGCCAAAGAGATTCCGCTTTTGAAGACATCATTCTGGGACTCCGGGCTGCGTGAACATTGTATGTGCTCCATGGTTATGTGTCCTTGTGGTCCTTGGGCCCCATGCATAGGTGTCTGGGCAGTGTTCAATCAATCGTTTGTTGAGTAGTATAGGAATTGAACAGAAGCATGTAATGAGGTGGACTTTCGTATTTCCACATCTTAAGAATCTGAAACAAACAGAGATTCCCAGGGGTGAGCAGTGACCTGTCATTCAGCATGCCAACTGTTTTGGTGGAGCCAGACTCTATCGGCCTGGGAGCAACAAATGGCTAACCCCTGCTAGATATGATTCAGAGCCCGAGCTTCCACAGGTCATGACTGCGGCAGTCGGGAAGGTGCTAATACTGGATAGCCGGAGCAGCAAGCCAACCTCAGGGGCAGGGAAGGAGAAGAGGGCACTCGAAATGGAGCAAGCGGAATCCAGCAAGGGCTTTGCCTGAAACTTGGCGTTTGTGTGAGGAGAACCGAGAACGATGTAGGAGTCAGTCTCACCGTGGAGAGCTGGCAACTTTGGCAATCAGTCCAGAGAAGCTTTGGAGGATTCGCGGGCGCACGTGGCTCAGCACCTGTAATCCCAGCACTTTGGGAGGGCCGAGACGGGCGATCACGAGGTCAGGAGACCGAGACCATCCTGGCTAACACGGTGAAACCCCGTCCTCTACTAAAAAATACAAAACAAAACCCTAGGGCCGAGGTATAGTGGCCACCTGTCAGTCCCCGGCTACTTGGAGGCTGTAGCTAGGGAGAATGGGCGTAAACCGGGATAACAGAGCTTTGCATGAGCTGAGATCTGCCACTGCAGCTCCAGCCTGGGCGACAGAGCGACTCTGCTCAAAAAAAAAAAATGGAGGAGGGGGCCGGGCACATGGGTGGCTCACAGCCCTGTAATCCCAGCTTTTTGGGAGGCTGAAGGCAAGGTGATCACCTGAGGTCAGGAAGTTCAAGACCGCCTAGCCAGACATGGTGAAACCCCCATCCTCTACTAAAAAATACAAAAATTAGCTGGCGGGTGGCACATGCCTGTGTCCCACCGTACTTGAGGCAAGAGAATTGCTTGAACCTGGAGGTGAGGGGTCCAATGACCAAGATTCTGCCAACTGCCACTCCAGCCTGGTGAAAGGGCGAGACGCCGTCTCAAAAAAAAAAGAAAGTTGGAGGAGGAAGACAAGGTGAAGCAGAAGGAAATTGATACGGGATTCCCCAAATCCCAACAGCGCCAATTGAATCAGAAACTCTGTGAAGGGGCTGAGTCAAAATGAACTGAGGATCCCTTTCATCAATTCAGTAGTATCACCTGCTGCCCCTGGTTTTGCGTTAGTTTCTTTCCAGTGGTTCTTAACATGTGGCCTTTGCAGCATATGGGAAGTTATAAAAAATGCAAATTATCGGGCCCCACCCTAGACCTACTGAATCAGAACTTCTAAGATGGGACCCAGGAATCTGTGTTTTAACAAGTGCTCCAGGGTATTCTGATTCAGGCTGAAGTTTGAAGACCTCTGGTTTATCTTGAAAATCTAGCCCTGATGGGATAAGATACAGGACTGGTAAGGTTTGGTAGGATATTGAAGGAAAAGTTTGAAGCCGGGGCCATTGCCAATAATTGTAGATCCTGTTGGATTTCTATGGTGGGAGGAGTGAGGGTATGGGAAAGGGGGTGACAAAAAAGTAATAGAAGGGAACCCAGCAGCAGCCAGCTCACTAGAAGAGTTAGAAAGATACACTTTGCCTCCTGCTATGGTTAGGCTTTGTGTCCCCACC